CTGGCCATGCCACTGCGCTTCCAACAATGAACTGGCCATTCTGACCCCTCCCCAGCCCTGCAGGAGAACGGGGTTGCCCTCTCTTCAAGCTCTGCGGGACCTGGGCTGACCTTTTTCTTTCTGGCTTCTGGACATTAGCTTGAGCATGGGCTGGGATCAGAGAGGGACTGAATTAAGGAGTGGACCTTCAGTGGCATGCATTTGGCAAACTGGAGGCTTTCTTTTATAAAAAAGACGAAGAAAGAAAGAATAGAAAGGGGGTCATTTGCCAAAGGAGCCCATGAGGCTGTGAAGAGAGAAGTCCAGTGGGAGTGGTGCCTTTCTCTCATGCAGACTGGACAAAGTTTTCTTGGATATGTGACAAGAGCTAATTTTAGAAAATGATTCTTGAAAGAAAATGATTCCTGAGGCTGTTACGATACATGAGTGTCTCACTGTTCACACTAAATCTTTTTTATTATTTCAATGTTAAAGTAAATACTTAGATTTAAGTCAGTTGAGACAACTTCTACACAAACTAGAACACGAGTATTTGTCACACCACAGAAAGCCTGGCCAGCAGGCGCTACAGCAGACAAGTCAATCAAAAAGTGTGAAAAATACTCTCCATTCAGGAAAACCAGCGATCAAAGCTTGTCACCCTTGGGGCTTATGAGGGACAACATTCAAATGGCAAAGCCCAGAGTGGACTTCGCTTTACCCGGAACAAAATCAGAAGGAAGTTGTAGTCACCGTCAGCTGCATTGTAATGTTCATCTGAGGCAGTTCCTACACTTTATAATTTCATCTGACAACCTGTAACTGTGCCTTCTGGAAAATGTGATTTTTTTTCCTGAACTATTTGAAGGAGAATTTAGACACTCTTTTGTATTATTTCAAATATTCATGTGAAAATGTGACTCACATCCTTGTTTGATAATTAGTATCTAAGATATGGGCACCAAAATTCTTGAGCAGATAGAACAATCAGAATAATTTCTAGTAGTAGGTCTTTTTTTGTTGTTGTTGTTGTTTTATTTTGCTGTAGTCATTGCCCCAGTGTTGTCAGGCAGTTTCCCAGAGGCTTGGCTACAGAGGCAGCAGAAAGTGGGAGGAGGGTGGCGATGGAGAAGTGCTGTTCAAATAGCAGAGAACATCACTTGGAATTTAAACCTGAGCACAGCCAGGTAGTACTGTTAGAATCACCATGGAGAAGAAGAGAAAGCCACACCTTACAAACTATGCATACAGACTTGCCAGTTCTCTTTCCAAGGGAAAACTGGTAGGAACTCAGCAGCCAGTCATGGAGACCTTCCCCCTCAAAGCTCAGGTGGGCCTACAATCAGGGGGCACCTTTTCATTGGCCCCTGGAGACAGATCATTTCCCTGATGTGCCACTTATATGTCCCCGATGCTATTTATATCACACCAGCTAATGATGGGACATAGCAACAAGTATTACAGAACCACTTCGTTTAAGCTGTGTCATTATAACATTTCAGATGCACTATATTAGAGAAAAATGTGTATTTTTTCCTACTGCTTACCAAACATTTCGTCCTCTTAGGTTGTGTGGTTACTTTACGGAAAGAGGGATCAAGGCTGTGACATTGGTTGTGTCCTCCATCCGTCTCTAACCTGGATTTTTACAGCTATGTTGATGAAGGACCAGAATGCATACAATGATTTTTGCAGCATTTTGCTTGCAGAGGATTTGCTGTCGCTATGGGAGTTCATCATTTTGGAGAATGTCCCCTTCACTGGCAGCAGCAGGTCTGCAGTGACAGCAGTTGCAGGGCAGCTTTTGGATCAACTAAAAGTTGAAGCCTAATCATGAGTTGAGGCAGGATCCCACCACTTTTATTATTACTGTGGACGAGAAGCTATAAGTCTGACCTAGTGAAAATTCTCATTCTTTTCATTGTGATACTTACTCCTATATGGTACTCAGAGAGCTTTACAAATCCCACCCTTTCTACTTCCCGGCCTGGAAGATGGAGAGGACACAACCTTTCCCAGGGTCCTGGCCCCACTATCCAGCTAGGCTTTCTCTTTACTTCCTTCGTGTCTACAGACTTCCTCTCATTCTTCTTCTCCTCCCCCCCTCCCGCCCCGGTTTCATGTCTGTCATCTCCCCATGAAAAACAGACGTCACATGTCTTGGGTTGGGAACTGGGCATTTCTCTATAATCAAGTCTATATGTCTGATACTCTGAATCTGGACATGAAATTTAGCAGGTTCACCTTCTGAGCCCGTTTCCATAGCTTCCTGACTCTGCAGAACTGGGCAGCTAAGGGTCGACTGACATGCAAAACACAGGTCCTAACTCCCATCCCCAAAGCCTTAAGTTTCCAGTTCCTCTCCAACCTATCAAGGTTTCCTGTTTGTTTTTTCATCTATTGAAATTCTGTGCACTTACCTCACCGTTTTGACTTAGTGCTTTAAGTCTCTCAAGAAAATGTTGTTTAAGAAACCTCCATTTCCCTTTCTTTAGTAATCCATCCGAATAAGCCCCCAGAGCTGTTGCAGGACAACCAGGAAAGGATGATTTCTACCAAAAGCAGACAGACTGCCTTTTAAATCAGCTACTAGAGCTTTATGGTGGTTTAATCTTTTGTCTGGTCTTTGTCCTGGGTTCTTGGCATGGAGTTTCTAAAACCATTGAATTTTCCTCAATAGTAGGGGTGTCTTTGTTATGCTAATGAGTTTATTCTTAGTGGGCCCCTAGATAGCTTCAGGATGGGAGCTGGTCACCAGAAAGACCTACCCTGTGATTAAAAGGCAGGGGACTTTGGGCCAGCCTGACCTCTGGGAAGAAGAGGGGACTGGAAATTTAATTCAGTCACATGGTCAATGATTCAAGCAGTCATGCCTACATAATGGAACCCCAATAAAATCTCTGGATGCCAAGGCTCAGTGGAGGTCTGTGGTTGGTGAACAGATAGATGGCCCAAGAGGATGCTGTTGCCTGACACCATGAGAAATGGATATGGAATCCCTCTCCATTTGGTAACACATGCACACCTTGAACTACATATATCCCTTACCCCCCAAACCCTGTAATCATTAGTATAGTATAACTTTCCGTTCTGTTAGTCATTCTAGTAAATGATTAAACCTGAGGGGTATTTTGGGGATCTCCAGGGTGAGAAGTGAGGTGGCCTGGGGATATAAATTAAGGCTGATGTCTGCAGTCTTGTGGGATTGTGCTAACACTAGTGGTTAGTGTAAACTTGTGTTGCAGTGTATTCAGTTGGGGTGGAAGCAGAATAACTCTCATAAGAATGTTTTTCTGGTTTCTAATAGAAATGTGGGAATATTGGCAACAGTTTTATATCTTCAGGTTGTGCATTACAGTTTGAAGCACAATCTGCTGAATGGACAGGTTTAGAAAGATCATTTTGCAGATTCTACTCAAAGTGTGGCCCCCAGACTGTGCACATCCACAAACTGTTCTCAGTTCCTGATTGAGATATGTACAGAACTGATTGTAAGCATTTAGAAGCTTTTAAAGCACTTTGATATTGCCAAGACATTCGGGCATGGAAATATAAAAGTATTAGACTGTGACAATTTGTGAAAAAGATCCAAAGGCTCATTTAGAAAATACCGCTTCAGTTGGTATGATCAGATGGAATCAGAAATTAGTGTTAAAAGTGTGAGAGTAGCTTATCTTGTCCCCCAGTTTGAAAAGAGAAGCCAACAGTCTTTGAGTTTACTTACTAGGTACTTCTCATAAATTGTGGAAGGTCACAGCAAAGAAAAGGCTTTTTTCTGTCCTTACACTTCCCTCTTATTCCTTCAGAGACAGGGTGAGGGTGAAGTAGGTGGGCATTATTTGGGGCACTACTGAAGTCCACAGACACCTTGGCATAACATCCCCCTGCAGCAATAGACACTGCAGTCTTGCTTATTCAGGACCATAGGTGTATTTCTGGTATGTTCCAGGCAGCCTCCCAGGCCTGGAAGAGACATGGAAGAATCAGATTTGGTTGTCACCCCCTAGAAATACACAGCAATGCTGTTGTACTGATGGGGAACATAAAAATACATTTTGGGGAGGGGGCTAGCAATCTGACTCTGTACCTAGTTAATCAGTATCCCTAATGCACATTCTTGCTAGCCGATAATTAACTCATTGCCCCTTCCTTAATTATCTGGTCTTGCAAGACCTATTTACCTAAATACTCCCATTTTACAGAGGCCATAAACCATAAACCATACACAACCCCTGGAGGGGGTTATCAGTGCTGGTGCCAGGCCAGGCCTTTAGGTGTGGTCTCACATCCCCCATCCAGACACATGGGGCTTTTTGCAAAGCCCGCGAAAGGTCCGGAAGTCTCATCCATATTTGGGGGACAAAGAAAACAAAGGGTATAAAGGGAAAGCTTCCTCCATATTCAGGGGCTCAGGATTTGGAAACAGGCTCCCCTGAGTCACTAGTACATGTGAAACATCTGAAAATAAATGGGTTTATCCTGAATCTCCAAGTACTCCTGTGTATTTTTCCTTTGCCTGGTAAATTCTGTGACAGTACAATATGTGAACTTTGAGCTTTTGGCTGATAAGTAGGTGAGAGATGGCAAACTCGGCTCAACTCCTGCTTTGTTTTACTAAATTATAATTCTATAAACCCAGTTTCTGGGAGAGGTCGTTGGGATGGCTCCTATGAAGCAGCTGTCAAGGTGGGAAGACGGAGTGACCTGAGAAGGGTTCCCCAGTACACCTACTCCACCTCCTCCCTTCCAGGACAGCCAGCTGAGATGGTGGGACCCCTTTGCAGAAGTCAGGGGTTGGGGGACATATGACACCTGAATTTAGCCAAAGCTTCCCTCACTTCCCCTCCCCCCCCAAGATTCTGGTTGCTGATGCCCACTCAACCCTCGCCTACAGGAACACTGCAAGCATAGATGGTCCCCAGTGATATCTGAGCAGATGTCCACATTAGCTAACTGTAGACCTGTTTTTCAGGTTCATTCCACCACTTTGGGACACCAGCTGCTGAACCCAGAGAACTGCCATGAAACCACCCTTGAAGCAATGGAGACAACTAATGCTTTGTGGGATATTTACTTGGGGGCTCCTCTTCCTGGTGATTTTCATTTACTTCACCGACAGCAACCCTGCTGAGCCCGTGCCCAGCTCCCTTGCCTTCCTGGAGACTAGGAGGCTCTTGCCCATGCAGGGGAAGCAGAGGGTCATCATGGGTGCCATGCAGGAGCCCTCCTGGCCTGAAAGTGTGAACACAAACAAGGGGCTGCTGGAGGGACACCCCATGGGGCCTCGCGACCTGCAGAAATGGGCCAAGTTGCCAGGGGTTGAAAATGAAGAAGAGTTCTTTTTATCTCAGATTGGGAGAAAATCCCAAAGTACCTTCTACCCAGAAGACGACGACTACTTTTTTGCTGCCGGTCAACCAGGGTCTCACAGCCACACTCAGGGGACACTGGAGTCCCTTGCCCCCAGGCACGCTGGCAGGTGGAAGGGGTGGTTGCCGGAGAGGAAAAGGCACCAGCCCCGGGGGAGCAGCCCCGCGCTGGAGGAGGGCGAGGAAGGAGACAGGCTGTACTCCTCCATGTCCAGGGCCTTCCTGCACCGGCTCTGGAAGGGCACCGTCTCCTCCAAGATGCTCAATCCGCGCCTGCAGAAGGCCATGAAGGACTACCTGGCGGCCAACAAGCACGGAGTGCGCTTCCGCGGGCGGCGCGCGGCCGGGCGGAGCCGGGCGGCCCTGCTGTGCGAGCTGCGGCGCCAGGTGCGCCTGCGCACGCTGGATGGCACGGAGCCGCCCTTCTCCGCGCTGGGCTGGCGGGCGCTGGTGCCCCCTGTGCCCCTTGGCCAGCTGCACCCCAAAGGCCTGCGCTCCTGCGCTGTGGTCATGTCTGCTGGCGCCATCCTCAACTCCTCCTTGGGGGAGGAGATAGGTGGGTGTCATGGGGTGCGGGGTGGGGAGGTGGGGGACCCTGGTCCCCGTCCTGGGCCAGGTGCGTGATTAGCGGCTGGCGCTTTCTCTCTTTCTCTGGTTCCCTCCGCAGGGCAGCGTGGGCCTAGCACTGGATATTTCGGACATTAGCTGGAGACCGCTTTTCTCTAGCTGGGACTGAGTGGACCCAGCAGAGGTCCACTGAGCAGTTTTAGAGCAGAGTGTGCTCCCCGAGTTGGGTCCAGGGGAGTGGAAAGCCCGAGCATCCCTGCCTTTTGCAGCGAGACCCTCCTGCTTCCTTAGAAACTATGCTCCCGTTGTTAGTCTCCCAGCCTGGCCCACAGGAGCTGATGAACCCATAGTGTGGTAGAGCTTTGAGGAGCAAACGGGGTAAGAAAGGAGAGCAATCCCCGCGGGTTAAGTGAGGCAGCTCCACAGAGACGTCTCTTGAGGACGACGTCGTTAGTCTGGGACTAAGCCGCTGTTGTGGGCTTTGAGGAGGGACTCCTGCCGGAACAACAAGAGTTCTGACCCTTTGGCACAACTCTGACCTTTGGGTCACGGCCAGTGCACCTAAGCAGGGCCCTTCTCCAAGATGGTAAATAACAGGACCACACCTGCCTCCTATCTTCCCTTAAGAACTATCTTTAAATCCATGCCAGGAGCCTGGGGGAGCGCTGCTTCATAGTTCCCGGGTTAGGGATGGGATATACATGTAGAGAGAAAGGGGCTTATTTTAAGGACTTGCTCCTGTGATTGTGGGGACTGGCAATTCTGAAGTTTGAAGGGCAGGCAGGTAGGAAATTCAGGTAAGAGTTGAATCTGGAGCCTGAGATCTGGAGGATGGGTTGGTAGGTGGAAACTCAGGCTGGGCTTCTCTAATGCGTCCAGATGCAGAATTCCCCCTTCAGGAAATATCAGTCTTTGCTGTAAAGACTTAGACTTCCCTCTCTGCCCAGGCCAATTCTATTGCTGCACCAGTGAGCAAGCAGCTTGGCCCTGTAGGCCCATTAACTCACTTAACCTGTGTGCTTAGCCCTACTGTGTGCCAGCTCCTGTACTGGGTGCCAGAGAACAAATGTGAGTCACACAGCCTCAGCCTGAAGTATGAATGGGAAGCAACCGAGTTTAACACATGCTCACAATAGACAGTGTTACTCGTAACTAATCTGGAAGGACATTCAGGGGGCCGCTGTTGTTTCCTGGACCCATTCGCTGTTCTGTGTCCTTTAGGAGAGGTTGATGTCCTGACCATCTTAAAATGGGGTGGTGCCATCGTGATCAAGCTCCACAACCCAGACCTCATCTGAATGTGAAATTTTTTAAAAGTTAAAATAAGCAAGACACAAGTCTAGACTTGAGGACTGGGGTCCCAGAGTCCCTATGCTGACATTACTGCAGGCCCATAATAACACTGTCCATGTGTCACATAAACGTGCAGCCTGCAATTGATTAGGAAAAGCAGTGGTTAGAGGTCCCTGGAGTGCAGTAACACCACAGTTCCTTCTCGTTTCCAGGGCCATTATTAATAATGTACGAAGGAATTTAAGTATTATGCTGTAAAGCAGGCCGTAACTAGCTTCTGGTTTGGTTTTGCTGTGTTTTAAACACCTCTGCATCACAGCTGCACATTTGGAGTGTTCTCACATGTCAGGGAGAATTCCCCTGCTCCTTATTGTGGCATAAATGTCCCTGACCAGGGTTTCATAAACTCTGTGCAGAATTTGGACTAGAGTGCGAAAGACACTGGGCATTACATGTTTTGGGGAAACGTGAAATGTCATATCTTTGTTAATTTCTAGTATCCAAATCTAATTTATATTGTCTGCACTCACATGAAGCTTCATGATTAGAATTGTCTAATATATACTCAGAATCTTAACTGAAAAACACAAATTTTTAAAATTCTTTATTGTTTTGTCTAGGTTCTTTAGAATCCAGTTTTGTACCTACCATCTTAAGTATATGTTATCATAGCATAACACAAGTTGTAAAAACAAAATGTCCTTCATTTTTATAAGCTGGTATCTCTTACCCTCAGCACTGGTACAGTGTGAGGCGGTGCCTTCTCCTTTCTGCTCACCAGGAATGTGGGAATGTGCATGTGCTTATCAACACAGAGTTGTTAAGGGCTCTCTTAATAAAAACAAATCACTAGCAGATTCCTTCAGGCAACTTGGAATATTGGGGCATGCTGTACTATTTAGCTAAATTCATCTTGACCTCTAAAAATCTCTTGTGGATTGGCTAAGTGAAGATCAAAAGACTTACCAAGATAATTTTATGAAAAACTGAGAGCAGAGCTATAAAAGTACCTGGGGCTAGCTCCATGTCAGCACTGCCAGGAGGCCCCTCAGGCAGAACTGTGCCTGAAGGCTTAGCAGTCACACCACCAGCCCCAAAGGAAGACTCTGTGAGTCTCTGGTTTCCTCGCCTGCTGGCTTCCTCTAGCTCCCTCTGCTGGTCCTATTGGCAGTGCAGTCCTTTTTCCAAGTTCTGTTAGACCAGTGGTTCCCAAACTTATTTGGCCTACCGCCCCCTTTCCAGAAAAAATATTACTCAGCACCCCCTGGAAATTAATTTTTTTAAATTTTAATAGCAATTAAACAGAAAGATATATGTATTAATGTTTCTACCTTTTTCGTAAAATATAGTAAAGAAAGGTGTAAATTAGAAACATTGAAGTTTGAAATTATGAAACTATTTATTGAACTCAGAATAGAAAGGTAATACAAAAAAAGTTAAAACAAATGCACCTGTGGCCATCACCACCCCCCTGGATCGCTGCAGCGCCCACCAGGGGGCAGTAGCGCCCACTTTGGGAATCACTGTGTTAGACTGAGTCATGCCCTGTAATTGTTTTTAAGAACATTTGTCAAAATGTTCTTAAAATGTAGCAGTTGTCAAAAACTCCTTGTTAAATATGTTATTGAAAAGCAAACTGAACTGTTTTGGAAATGTGGAACATTTTTTCCTAGAATCATTGAGATCTTTCTTCAGCCACACATATAAATAATAATTTGGTAGCGAGATCATCTGCCAGCAGTCCTGTGGAAACTCACTACAGAGGAGAAATGTCTGCTCTGAACTAACATTGGTGGCCTCGATCTGGGAGATCAGGATCTGTGTACTTGAAATACAAATTCTGGGAAGCCTGTGGGAAATGGGGGAGGGCCTGTATAAGGAGTGAAGCCCCTGTTTTGTTACCTTAAAAAAAGCAAGAAAGACATAGAGTTATTTAGCAAGCATTGAGTATTTATTGATCCCCACCTCTCTGAGGCCTGATAACTATGCTAGCTACTAGTGACACAAAGATGAATAGGGACCTAAACCTCAAACCCTCTGCATTCCGGTGGGGAAGACAGACTACGAACAGGCAGTGGTTAGGAGAAGAACTGAGAGAGGTGTAGACTGACAGGGAAGACAACAGAATCCTAGCCCACGGTGAGGGCTGGTGCCTGGACAGAGAGGAGGTCAGCAAAGACTGCCTAGAGAGGGGAATCCAGGCCAGAGGTGCAGCGCGCTGCAGGGCACCACCGGTGGGAGGGGAGAGGAGAGAAGGCTGGACAGGTGGCAGGAGGTCAGCTCCCAGATGTTTTTGTGCATCATTCCCAGAAATTAGACTTCACTAAGTAATTGTTATCATAGGTACCACTCAGTAGGGTGTTTACAGCAGGTTCAGTACCAAATGCTTTTATGTGTTAACTGCTGGAAGCCTTACAGTCTGAAGTAATAGATACAGTTATTCCTGTTTTATGGATAAGGAAATGTAGACACCTGGAAGGCCCAGTGGGCGGAGCCTGGATTCCATCGGACTCCAGTCTGAGTCTCCAGGAACTCCAGCTTTGACCCGGGGCCTATGGTCAGAGGCACTGCAATGTTTGAAGCAGAGGGTTGATGGGTCAACTTTTTATTTTAGAGAGATTGCTCCAGAGCCTAGATTTGAAGGCATGAAGATATAAGTGCCATTGCAGGAGTCCCGGGAGAGGTGAGGTAGAGTCGGAGAGAGATGAAGTCCCTAAGGACTGCAGGCTTTTGCTTGCTTACTGATGCAGATTTCGTGTACTGGGTGTGTGGGGAAAAGGAGGAGGAGAATGAGGACCCAGTGCCCAGGGCAGGACAGTAACGGAGGGCTCCTGCACCTCCTGGCTGGCTGCTCCTCAAACGGCCTTAATGTTCCTTCAGTGAGTGCACTTCGCCTGGCTCTGTTCTCAAGGTCAACGCGAAATGGCTCTCCCCTGGAAAAGCCTTCTCCAGAACGATGCTTTACACCCCTTGTGCTTGCTGTCTGATCTCTTTCTTCTCTTCTAAATGTGAACAGACAGCATAGTTTTTAAGGCACATTTATCAAGGTGGTGCACACACAGCCAAACAGACGTTTACAAAACACGCTGCCTGATGGGCGCACTCTCAGCTCATCCTCCCCATTCGGCTCACTGACAGCTTTAAGGAGGGTCATCCCAGCAGCCGCCAGCTCTCCCTCCAGTCTTCCTCCACAAAACTGGCCCTTTAGCTCTTGACTCACTACATTGCATGGCTGTGCCCTGTGCCTGTGAAGTCATTTGAAGTCTTAAAACGCACCTCAGTGGAACTCCGGCCTTTAAAAGCTGTGACGTTTTCAGGGGTGATGCAATGAGTTTGGAATTGCCTGATGAATTTGAAATGCAGCCACTGCTTAGGTGCCTTGGCTTGTTGACCTCAGCCTCAGACAGAGCTGCCTGGGGGCAGTGTGGTCCAGTGGGAGACCTGTGCAGTAGGAGTGCTGGCGCTGCCTCGCCCTGGGGTGCTGACCACCTCTCAGTGCCCAGAGCTTACCTCCCTGCTTGCAGCCTGCACTCACGGGCCACCCTGCCAGGCAGGGTTGCCTTAGGTCCAAGTTTACACAGTGGGGTCTGCTTACACTTGGGGAGTCTAAGACTCTCTCAGGGATCCACGAAATGAAAACTATTTTTATAATAATACTCAAAGGTTTTTTTAACTGTTGACATTCGCATTGATGTTGCAAAAGCATTGGCGAATAAAATGCTTCTTAGTACAAATCACGGCAGCAGGCCCAACTCTGTTGGGCAGGGCATTTTCGCTGCCAAACTCAGCAGGAAAAGCAAAAAGGGCCAGGTTCACTTACAGATGTCCTTCATGAAATAGTGAAAATTGTTGATTTTATTAAATCTCAGCCTCTGAGTACCTGTGGTTTGGGGGCCCAGGGGGAAATGTCGTGAAAAGCACTGTGTGTGCTGGCACACGGGGAAGAGCGTCTGTGTGGCTGGTGAGCGGAATGAGCCGTTTTATTACTGAAAACACATTTTACCTTGAACAAATGGCTAACTGACTTTATTCAGTCTTCGACATTAGCAGAAATTCTCAAAAACTGATCAAGTGAACCTATCACTTTTAGGAAAATAACTGACAGTGTTGGTTGCCAGTGATAAAATTCAGGCTTTCAAGCTTGAGCTTGATATACTTTATAACAAAATGCATCAATATTTGGAAGATCTGGGTAACTTACTGAACTGATAGTCTCAGGTGATCATTGCACAGTGTTACAGAATTATGCACATGTGAATCATCCATTTTGAGAGCAAGATAAACTGATGGGTTTTAATGTAACAGCATGAAAAGTTCGTTGATACTGTGTCACATTCCTCATTGCGGCCACCTTTTGTAAACTAGCACTTATCAAGTTTTGATGAAGTATCAGAGAAGACTATTCCCAGTAATCTGCAAAGACTTCAGATATTTCGCCCATTTCCCGTGATACATCTGAGTCTTTATATACTTCAACTAAAGCAATACATTGCAGCAGACTGTGTGCACCAGCAGCCAGGAGAAGCCAACTGTCTTCTGAAAAGTCACTCATTAATGAGATTTGCAAACATTTAAAACAGTGCCAGTCTTCTCACTGGGTTTTGTTTTTTTTTTCATTTTGAAAATGTATTTTACATAAAAATGTTATTTTAAATTAAATTAATAAACATTTAAAGTTTTTCTATTTTACTTTCTAATATTGATGTAGTTCAAATAAACATAATGCCTTTGGGTTGTCATACATTTTCAAGAATGTAAAGGGGTCATGAGACCAAAAAATAAGCATCTAGAGCAGTGGTTCTCAACCTTCTGGCCCTTTAAATACAGTTCCTCATGTTGTGACCCAACCATAAAATTATTTTTGTTGCTACTTCATAACTGTAATGTTGCTACTGTTATGAATCATAATGTAAATATCTGATATGCAGGATGGTCTTAGGCGACCCCTGTGAAAGGGTCGTTCGACCGCCAAAGGGGTCGTGACCCACAGGTTGAGAACCGCTGATCTAGAGAGTGGCAAACTTCCTATTCTTAGGAGCCAGGTAGTAAATGTTTTGGGCTTGGTGAGCCACAGGGTCTCCCAGCTCAGCTGTGCTGTTACAGACAATAGATACACAAGTGACTATGTCTGTGTCACAGCACAGCTTTGTTTACTAAAACTGATGGCAGGTCATAGCTTGCTGACTATTGAAAAATTTCCCCTAAAAGAACATTGCAGGACTTTTTGATGACTTAGCCAGGTACCCTTTATGCATTGTTTGTATTCCAAGAGTGTTGATTTGGTGCTCAAAACTGGACTCTGAAATCTTCTGAATCCAATGCTTGTCAAGAGAGGCACCTTTTGTAACGTGGTTTTAATGGTGGCACACATGCCAAGTTTCTACTACTTAGGGAGTTGGAGGGTCTCTCCCAAGGAGACTCCGCAGGAGCGGATGGACTCAAGTGGAGAATGGGAGCTGCTTTAGGGACTTGAGTGGAGTGTGGTCACTGTAAAGGTGGCATGTATCCACAAGACTTTTTGGCAGATCAGAAATGCATAATTTCACCTCACTCCCTCACAAATAGGCAGTGTCATTGCTCCAAGTTGAACCTGAAATGTGCATAGAATTTTTGAAGCTAAAAGTAGCCTATGGAGATTCCCTTATTACTGATTAAGTCTGATTTCAGGCTGGTCTCTGAAAAATGAATACTTAGCACAGGAAATTTCAAGACATGTATACTGACTGCGCTGTGGAAAGAGAACAAACACATCTCCCATTTCCATCCCTTAGTCAGATGAGAGCCCACTTTCCTTGACTTCTAGTTCTTGTCTCCCTTGTCAGCTCTATGATATGGGAGCCATCTTTTGGGACCTCAGAGAACTTGGAAAAGTCTAACTTTTGAGTCAAATGAAGGGAGACGTGGTGAAGCTCCGTGGACCACGGTGTGCCCGATGGGCTATAAGCAGCATTGGTAGCTGGTGCCTCCCTTCCTCCAGGGCGAGGCCGCCCTTCCTCCAGGGCGAGGCAGTAAGGTAGGCCATTGCTGGAAAAGGAAGAATGCACTAAGACTGCTCTCGTGTGGGTCTTCTTGGCATTGTAAGCAGTAGGTAAAGATGCACAGAAACTACGGCTGGTTTTCTTTTTTAAGCAAAACCAGCACCCAAAAGTGGTCAAGATGCAGTGAAGGCTGTGGGTCTGACTGTGAGAGACACGCTTGATCTTGGTGCAGGCAATGGCGTTGGAGGCAGCAGGAGCAGCCTCCACTCCCTGCAGCAGTGAGAAGCCACAGTGAGCAGCCTGTTTGTAGAGTCCTGTTCCCATAGATTCCATCTTCAAAAAGTTTTGGAGTCTTTAGGAGAATGGCTGCAAAAAGCATGTCCCCTTGTAAAGATGTGGACACGTAAGCATCTCTGAATAACTTAGATGTCACAGGACCTGCTGTAATTGCATGGATTGTGCCTCCATGCTGATCTGCCCCTGGCAGCATCTCATTCTAAATAAACAGCATGCTGAAAATGTGTCCATGGGTCTCTTCATTGTTGGTGTCTGATTAGCTTCCGGTTTAAAAGATTCACTTTAAGATATTTTCCTAGATTATGTTTATTCTACAGATAGAAAAAATGTGAGAGTGTCATTTATGTGCCCCTAGATTCTCATGATGCAGTCTTGAGATTTAACGCGGCTCCCACCCGTGGCTATGAGAGAGATGTTGGGAATAAAACCACTGTGCGCATCATTAATTCCCAGGTAAGATGGATGGAATGCTTGCATGGATGTGTGCTCTATAGGTAAATAGTTTAACTGGATGAGTGAAGAGAAATTATCCAGAAAATCATGATCACGATTTTCCTTATTTCTATGGGTCTTGTAATTATAAAGAATTAATGAGGAAAAAATGTAGAGAAATGGGAATTTGTGTGTGACATGAATAGAAAAAAAATGATAAAATAAGCTCAAAAGAAAAAAAAGTTTATATATATATATAAATCTCCATAGACTTACCATGTTGCATCGTGTGGATTTCAAATGATGTTAAACTTATGAGAAGTAGTGGCCAAGAGAAGGCAGGGGATGGAGGAGAGAAAAGCAAAGGTACAAAATTCAAGGGTAGTAGGGTAGCTTGAAACTTTAGTCTGTTATTTGAAAATTTTAAAAATGAAAATGGATTGTTGAATTGAAAATGAAAGTATCTCGTTTCTTTGTATTCTTAATAAGAATGTTTTCCAAATTTGTAGCAAAATTATTCTCAGAACAAACCACAACTATTTCTAGAGTTTCAAACTATATAGAAAAATATGAGGTGATGAATGATTTCTGATGAGTTGCTTGCAGAACAAAAGATTAGATTTCTGCCTAGTACCCTGAGCCAGGCAGCACACAGCAAGGTAAGAAACGATTACCACATTTCCTTCATTTATAGATGCCATTGATTATAAGATTCACCATTCATTTAATAACAGCTTTTCAGAGAGGAGGAGATAACCTTCACCAAATTAAAATACATGTCACTATAGGATAACTTTCAACTACAGAAACATTAAAATGTGAAGAAAAAAAGTACATCTTAGAAACTGAAAAATTGCATCTTAAAACTGAAATCACATTATTTTTTCTCAAAAATGTAATTTTAAAAAAGATGATTGGCAGGTGAGATTGAAGAACTCATCCAGACTAGACAGGGCCCCAAAGGAAACGGTCACCCAGGCTGACTCGGGTTGACTGGCTCGCTGTGTCCCCGTTGTCCTAGGCTGGCACGCGGAGGCACCTGCAGAATTCAGTTCATCCACATCTGCAGCTCTCTCCCAAGTTACCTGTGAAGACAATTGAAGAAGTTGTGGGGCCCTGAATTCGCTAGGTTATGTCTTTCGGGAGCTGATTTGATTCCACTAGATATGAGTACAGTGCTGGAAGAAAATGTAAGAACTGGGGGATTTAAAAACAAACAAATAACAAAACCTCATTTCCCCAAACATTTTTTAGGAGCTTTAGCACGCGATGCCAGCCTCTCTCCCTCCCCCAGAAGAAAACAAAGCCTGAGGGACTTTTGAAAAATGGATCAGAGCAAGGAAAATTATTTTTCATCTCTTTTTAAAATATGATTTTGAAGAACCAAACACTTGCTTTGAAATTATTTTTCTATGTATTTGCAGATTCTGACCAACCCCAACCATCACTTCATTGACAGTTCATTATATAAAGATGTCATTTTGGTGGCCTGGGACCCTGCTCCTTATTCTGCAAATCTTGACCTGGTAAGTCTTCATTTGTCACCCCTACCCTGACCCTAGTGGTCAGAAGGTGCCTTTGACTGATTACTCATGGGAGCAAGTCAAGGGTTAGCTTTGATAGACATAATGAAACTGATCGTGGGTGCTGCTTAAATACATGTGTGTCCATGCCATCTTGATACCCACTTCCCATAACATGCTTGGTGAGCATTGTCCATCTAAAAAGGGCTTTTGCTGTGGAGGATTTTTTTTTCAATGTCCAAATGTTCAGAAATTCCTAGTTACACTGGAGGTTGGGCTGATTAAATCAAAATATTCCCATTATGATAGGGTTACATTACCTTCCAAGAAGTTACAGACCTTTTGAAATAAATTGGAAGTGCTTGGCAAGAAAAATCTAAACTTGTGTGTCACCAGTTTGTTATTTAAATGAACCTGTTACAGGCTTTCCTTGAGTGGGTCACTCTGCTTCAGCTTCTCAACCTGTTTGATCTTGTGATGCATAAACAAGATCATTGCTAGCCATCAAAATGTAGGCAAGTTATATGCACAACTTTCTGGCAAGTCGCTGGCTATCTAAACAAGCATCCAGTTACTTCTGGTAAAGCCTGGGATGAAGAGCCAGTGTCGCTGGAAGATGGATGATAATTTCACCACGGCAGATGCTGTCCGCTGTGCCAATGATGTCTTTCCGTTTGTTTTGCTGTGACTCAAGAGAATGCAGTCTTGTGGAGGGGACTGATCTTGGCTCTTCCGCAACTCCCCCCTCTCCCCGCGAGAGATAGCTTTCTAAGAGAGCTGCCCAGGGTTGATGGGTCCCTCTGAAAGGAATGTTCTGTCGCTGTTCCTCATGAAGCTGGACCTTTACCTAGCGTGATTACTAACCACTTTAACCAGGATTGAAATCAGAACCACCTGGAGAGGATTTTTCAGATATGTCTGTCAGAGCCCCATTTCCGGAAATGTAGTGCACGGCATTGATGTGTATTTTCTGAGAAAGCCTTTTGGGCTCTCATTTGTGCCCTCCATTGAGAATCAAGCATCACATGGGGGTTTGAACTTTTCAGCTTCCCTCCCAGCCTGAGGTTCTCTGGCTTGGAGTTCGGATAGCTCTCTTGCTGTTTGTGGACAGACCGAGAGCTTCTAGTTTTCGAACCTTGCTTGTTGCTCTGTTGGAAGCCTCCAAGGGCAAGGCACAGGGCTGTGCAACCCCATGGGTGTGAACGCCATGGTGCTGAAGTCTGAGTGACAAGCTGTTGTCCGAGGGCCTGTCCTTCCATTCACTGTGTCAGGATCGAAGGAGGGGAAGAAGCAAGTCCCACATTCCTTCCCACTGCCTCACTGAAGATGATCTGGCCCAGCCATCCTCAGCATCTTCAAAGCAACAGAACACATTCAACCATGGACTGTTCCTCGAGGTCTTACTCTAGACCAGGTGTCTCTCTGAAGGGAGCTTGGAGCCTGAGCCGAGCCTCCCCCTCACACACCTTCTCCAAATCTCATTTCATGGTGACAACTGACACACTTCTGCAAACATTTTTTTAAATCAACCTATAGTTTATTTTATCATAAAATATTTTATATACAATCAATGTAAGCATACATTTTGATGAGTATTAGCAAATATCTGTAATCATGTATCTATCACCACAATTAAGAAATAGGATATTTTCATCACTCCAGGGTCCCTTGTGCCACACCTATGGGTCATCCTAGCCCTAGCCCTAGGCATTAACTGATTTGCTTTCTGTCGTTTTAGATTCTGTTTGGAAAACATTAGTTTTGAGCCCAGAGGTCAGCAAACCACAGCCACGGGACAAATATGGCCCTGGTTTTAAATAAAGTTTTGTTGAAACAAAGCCAAGCCATTCATATGGCATCTTGTGTGGCTGCTTTCCTAGCACAAAGACAGAGCTGAGTGATTGCCACAGAGACCATAAACCCACAAACCCTTTGCAGAAGTCTGCTGAGCGCTGCATGCAGCATCTGTCTAGCGCAGCGGTTCTCAACCTGTGGGTCGCAACCCCTTTGGAGGTCAAACGACCCTTTCACAGGGGTCGCCTAAGACCATCGGAAAACACATATATAATTACATATTGTTTTGTGATTAATCACTATGCTTTAATTATGTTCAATTTGTAACAATGAAAATACATCCTGCATATCAGATATTTACATTACGATTCATAACAGTAGCAAAATTACAGTTATGAAGTAGCAACGAAAATAATTTTATGGTTGGGGGTCACCACAACATGAGGAACCGTATGAAAGGGTCGCAGCATTAGGAAGGTTGAGAACCACTGGTCTAGCGGGACCCCTGCTCTCTGTCTGCATTCCCCACTCCCCTCTGAGTCCCTCCCTCCCTCTGGTGCTGTCCTGTGTCCTTTGCACAGCGTGGCCCTCAGGACTGGATTGTGTTGGTTTTTTTCTCTTAGTGGTACAAGAAGCCAGATTACAACCTGTTCACACCATATGTCCAGCATCGTCAGAGGAACCCAGAGCAGCCCTTCTACATTCTTCACCCTAAATTTGTATGGCAGCTTTGGGACATCATCCAGGAGAACACCAAGGAGAAGATTCAGCCCAACCCACCATCTTCTGGCTTCATTGGTAGGTGCACTGGTAAAACTGGAAAGAGTGATGTGCAGGAAGGTTAGGCCTGATACGCAATAAATACACATTCATGTTATACAATAAGAGCAAGTAAAGGTGTTTTAGAGGGGAAATAGACCAGCTGAAGAAAAGAGAAACATTCTTCTCCAGTTTCTATTGCCACATTGCCCACTACCCAAAATTCCAAGAACTACTTTATTTTCTTGCACGATTTTATGGGTCAGTATGGGCTTGTCTGGGGTTGCTGGGTTGTGTTCAGCTGCTTCATGGGATGGCTTTGTTCCAGGTCTCGCCCCATGGAAGGAATTCTCGCTCCCAGTGGGAGTTCAGGCTCAGCGGGGACTGTTGGCCTGTGGCCACACATGGCCTCTTACATGGTGGACTCAGAGTAGCTGCACTTCCTAAATGGGCTCCAGGCAAGTGGTCCAAAACACAGGCGATAGAACTGTCAGTGTCTTATGGCTGAGGCCTGGAGATGTGCACAGCATCACCGTGCTATGTTCTGGGGGTCAGAGCAATTGAGGTCCTGTCTGCTTCAAGGGAGGACACACAGAGCCCACCTTGGCCATCTCTGATCCACCACCCACTGCCATGCACAGTGCTGGCGGGAGGACTGGCTGGAAATGAATGTGTGACCACAGGACAGTACCAGGTGGCCCAGGCTCTGGTGAGATTAATTTTAGGACCTTAGACAGCTGTTACCACCAGAGTCCACTAGCTCTAACCCAAAACTAGATTTGATGTAACAAGATTATCACATGTTTTTAGCCAGGCTTTGATCCTCAAAGTTGTGGTCTTACCCCATTTGTTTATCTACGTTTCAGTATATTGCCCCAAGAATTTCTTAGATCTCCTTGGCAATGTGAAGGCAGTAATAGAACCAAAGATATTAGTTTTGTGCACAGGAAACTGTAACATTCTCCCCCTGATTTCAGTGTCTTTAGAACTGTGCACCTTGGCGTCCCTGTGTGATAAAGGAGCGTTTAAGGAGCTACACTGGTTTCCTCATGGATACGGGGAACATGCACAGTATCTGAACTGAGACTTACAGGTGTTGGAGTGGGCTTTTAGTATTGTAATAATGTGAATATTTTATGTAGAATTCAAGACAAAATTTACACTGTGACCGAATATTACTTTTCAATTTTTAAAGCCATGCCTTTGACACTCCTTATTTCCAAATCAGTCTTAAAATCCTAATCTCTTTATCTTTTGTGCAGTTCCATTGAATCTGTTGATTTAGGAAAAAAGGTATAATTAATTTGTCAGCAAAAGGGTGATGGAATAATGCTTAGACAGTATAATAGGGTGTGACAGGAATTTAGTATCTTTTTCTTTCTGTTGCTTTCTCATGAATTCATTTGGCTAGTATTTGATTAGAGTAAAAGTTTTAGGGCACAGTGGTGGGCTGTCGGATATGCTTATTGTGATATAGTTTGAGATATTCAAGTTAGCTAGTCACAGCTGGAGAAGACGTTTTCCCCAGGTGTTTTTGTTGAAAGAAATCATGCCTCGTATATATGACCAGCCTCCTTTCATAGCTGTTGACTGAGAATTTGGAATTTCACAGGCTGATGATTGCCTTTCCAGCTTCTACATGAAAAAGGGGATTGCAGTTTGAAGTCTTTGGGAGCGTGTCATTGGATTGGACAGACTGTGACTTCTTCTCTGACATTTACTAGCTTTCTAATTATGGGCAAGTTGCTTAATCCTGTGCCTCTCCATATGCACATGTGAGAAATGCAAATACAGTGGGGCCTTGACTTACGAGTGTCCCGACTAAGGAGTTTTTTGAGATACCAGCTGTCTCTCGGCAGATTTTTTGCATTGAGTTGACAGAGTAATTTGAGTTAACGAGCTCCTTAACGAGCTCCTTAATGAGCTCGGTCTCAGAACGAATTAAACTCGTAAGTCAAGGCCCTACTGTAATAATAAAACCTTTGAAAATATGAGTTAGTGGGCCGATTTGCAGTTGTTATTTTCTAGCTGTGCTCTGTCCTGTATTGCAGCCGTTAGCCACAAATGGCTATCCACATTTAAACCAACTGGGATTAATACCAGCCCCATTTCAGGTTTCAGTAGCCACATGCTCCTGGTGGCCACTGGCTTGGGCAGTTCAGACAGAGAACTCTCCATGGTCACAGGCAGTTCTGCAGGGCACACTGTTAAGTTTGGCCAGAATGAAAAAGAGCAAGTCGATAAGGCATCATTGTTCCCACTGGGCAGGCTGGGTCTGTGGGGATGTAAGTGTATACTAGTAGAAGGTGTGGCTTGACGTCATTGACTTTGTCTGCCGCTTTTGTTCTTTGCCTTATTTAAGTGTGAGCACCTCACTAAAGGTGGGCAGGAGATACCACCTGGGCAAGCTTATGCCCAGCAGAGCTGTCACCCTCTGCATCTCCTGCTGATGTTACAACCTTTGTACTCTTCCTGGATCTTGCTAGAAATATGCTCAGAGCAGAGACTGTTCTATAATTTATCTGACTTTTTTATATACCAGTAAAATTATGTCACCCGCATCTTAATCTATCTTCCAGAAGAATTTTTAAAAATCAATGAGTGTTTTCTTCGCTTATCAAAAAGTGTTCTCCAAATGTGCCTTCATGTTCTAAGGTCATGTTGAAAAGCTATTGACTTATTGTCTTGTCACCTCATCATTTCCAAACATTCCAACCTGTAATGTCAGTTACTGAACAAAAGAACCGGTGGTGGAGCCCGTCCATGAGGTGAGAATGTCTCCATGTGCGTGCATTTCCAGGTTCTGCCCAGGTGCACAGTCAGCAGGACACGCTCCTTCAGAGAAGAGCAGCACGCAGCCCCTGGGCTGGCTGCTTTCCTGATGAGCACAGGGTTCCATCTGCAAGTGAAGCAGGATGAATCCTTTTCTTTATTGATGAGCTGCTCATCCAGCTGGAAAAAAGCTGTCTCACATTTAATGTCTTCCATTTCTAAATCCACTGCACACATTTTCCCTATATGTGTTTATGACTCAGCATGTGTGAGATAGAGGGACTCTAAAAGTTGACTGTTTTGCCCTTGCTGGTATGGCTCAGTTGGTTGAGTATCATACAGTGCACCAAAGGATCATTGGTTCGATTCCCAGGCAGGGCACATGCCCATGTTGTGGGCTAGATCCCCAGTAGGGGGCATTCAGGAGGCAGCTGATCAATGTTTCTCTCTTCTCTCTATTCCTCTCTCACAAACATCAATTAAAAACATATTTAAAATATTAATAATAATAAAAGTTGGCTGTTTTGAACACAAAAGGCATTTATCTTATGGAAATTTAGTCAATGGCTTTTAGATTCCCAGAGGAACACACCTGGTCCCTTAAATGTAATGTTATTGGTACTAGTTAGAGGCCTGTTCCTGGGCTGAACTCATTGTGAAGGTCTGGGGTGGGGAACCTTTTAGCTCAGTGGTTCTGAAAGTATACCATATATCAGAATCACCCAGAGGGCTTGTGTATCAGTTACCTAATGCTGTGAAGCAATTACCCCAAAACTCAGGTACTGCAAAGAACAATAAGCAGGTGTTACCTCACACAGTTTCTGTGGTTAGTAATCCAGGAGCACATTAGCTGGGTGACTTGGCTTGTATCTCAGGAGGTTGCAGTCAAGCTATTTAGACCTGGGCCAACCAGTCTGCTTCCAAGGCAGCTCACTTGCTTGTACAATGGCTGTTGCCAGAGGCCTCAGTTTCCCACCCAGGACCTGTCCACAGGGCCACTTGAGTGCTTGAGGGTCCTCACAGCCTGGGCCTGGTTTCTCTAGAGCAGTGGTTCTCAACCTTCCTAATGCCGTTTAATACAGTTCCTCATGTTGTGGTAACCCCCAATTTCATTGTTACAAATTGAACATAATTAAAGCATAGTGATTAATCACAAAAACAATATGTAATTATATATGTGTTTTCCGGTGGTCTTAGGCGACCCCTGTGAAAGGGTCGTTTGACCTCCAAAGGGGTCGCGACCCACAGGTTGAGAACCGCTTCTCTAGAGCCAGGGCTCTAAGAGAGGAAGCAGGGATAGAGGAAGCCACAGTACTTTTTAGGGGGTCATAAATTATCACATTGGCTACTTTCTGTCCACTATACAAGTTAGCCTCATGGTTGTGACATGGAGCTACACAAAGATGAGACTCATTTTATGCCCAGAGAACTTAGTGTAAAAAGGCATATGTCACAGCTGACTATAAATACCCTTCCTAAAAATGGATTTTTGTTAGTTTGGTTGGTTGGTTAGTTGTATCATCTTAGAAACCAGAGTCTTGGATATATTAATTAGTGGGGTATAAGCAAGGTCCCACCTCTTCATGGATTTCAGGAAACCAGCCTCTCAGCAATATTTGGGCAGTGGGTTAGCCAGTGTCTTTTATTCAAAGAAATGCCTTCTGCACCTTCTTTAGCAACCCCTAGCCCAGCACTAACAGCCTCCCTGATGTCACATAAATCTTGTAGGCTTACCTTATCAGAAAGAAACTGGGGTATGGAGTCTGCTGGGAAAGGGAAGCAATTACTATTTTTTTTGTTAGTAGAAATATTTAATTGTTGGGACAAAAATAAGTGCTCAAGTAAAAATTCTCTGGAAAGAGTAATATATAACAAAAACAATATCTAGTTTTATAACTTTATATTATGCTAGACTAGAGGCCTGGTGCATATTTGTGCACTGGGTGTGTGTGTGGGGGGGGGGGGTACCTCAGCCCGGCCTGTGCCCTCTAACAGTCCGGGACCCCTGGGGGGTGGAAATGTCTACCTACTATAAAAGTAAAAAAAACAACTCCAGCAACTGCCACTGTGCTCACCAGCTGTAAGTCCGGCTTCTGGCTGAGCTGCGCTCCCCCTGTAGGAGCGCACTGACCACTAGGGAGCAGCTTCTGTACTGAGTGTCTGCCCCCTGGTGGTCAGTGCACATCATAGTGACCAGTTGTTCCACTGTTTGGTCGATTTGCTTACTAGGGTTTTATTATATAGGACTAGAGGCCCCGGTGCACAAA